AGGAGGCGCGGGACGGGGAGGAGCAGGACCGGGAGGAGCGGGGACAGGGAGGATCGGGACGCGAAGGATGGAGAGGAGGAGTGGGGCCGGGGGAGACAGGGCCGGCCCGCAGCGGCCCCCCCCCACACACACTGTCCGCAGTTCGGATCTGCTGAGTTCCTCTGCCGAAGGGCTCCCTCTGCTTTCCCAGAGATGGCCTGAATGGGCTTCTTTTCTCTCGCAAAGTTCATAAAGGACCCTGGGCATTGGGGCGAAGTTACCATGGTCCCCGAGAGCAGCCTGGAGGTCAGGACCTGCTCCCGAGGGCCTGGGACGGTCTCCCCCCACACCCCGTCCCTACACCAGTTCTGCACACCTGTGGGGTAAGTGAAAGAGACTTTTCTAACAGTGAGGTGTTCAGCGTGGACAAGACATGCCTATTGTTCAGTTCGCTTGGAAGACGCCTGTCCTAAGGCCAGAGTGAAGTGTTGTCACGGCGCAGAGACAGGGCCTATAGTAGATGCTAAGGTATTTCATCCTCTGCTAACACAGCTGTTCTCAAACTACTTAATCTCTCTCATGTAACATGAAGGCAAAAAAAGATCTTTCATTTAATATTTTAGTTCCTCAAAAAGCTACATTCTCAGGATTCGTGCCCCATGATTAAGATTCATCTTTAGGTGGTAAAGTCTTCTCTTCTGGCCCATGTAGTAGGCTACTATAACATTACTTTTTTATTTATTCTTTATTTTCCTGGTGCCAGGGATCGAACTCGGGACCTTCCCCTTCCGAGGCAGGCGGTGGCACCATTGAGCTAAATGCCCAGCTACTATAACTTCTTTATGTGCACATAGAATAACGTGACGTTTCTAATGTGTCAGACGTTAAGGTCGAGCAATTCACAAGTGTTATCTCCTCTGATTCTCGACGCAGTCTGTAAAGCACTGTTACTATACCTCTTACAGTTGGGAAATTAGCACTTAGGGATATTGACAAAACTCACACATAGCTTACATGAATAGTAGAATTTTTGTTTTTTTAACAGGGTCTGCCTGTGTAATTCAGACTGGCCTTGAACTCACAGTGATCCTCCTGCCTCAGCCTCCAGAGTGCTGGGACTGCAGGCGTTGTGCACTCCGGCACTAGCTTTTTATTATTTGAAGTTTTCTGCGTTTCATTTTATATTCGCTGTCCGATCTGATTAACTCCCTAAAACACAAGACTGGAAACAAGGCTCGGAGCAGGGACAGAAACCATGAGGAAAGAGGCTGGGAACGCCAGGCCACTCCAGCTGCGGTTCCACCTTAAGTAGCTTCAGCCCCTCCCAGCGCGGAGCAGGCTGTGGCTCCTCCTACCCCCGTGTCAGCCTAGGCCCGGGAACGTGGAGGAGGAGAGGCGCGCTGAATGGAAAGATTGGCGCCGAAGCCGAGGGTCTCTGCTGCCCCGCTGTGCCGGCCGGGCAGCGGCATATGAAGCTCCGGCCTCGGTCTTGGGTCCTTTTCCTGGAGGACTTCAGCGATGGGGATGAGCTCCCCTGAAACGTTGGCGGGATGGAATGTGAACCCTGGGCCCCATCTTGGGGCGGGGTCGAGGTGGGGCAGAGCTGGGCCTGAGAGATATTCGGTAAGGGATGCAGCGACGGTTCAGAGAAAGTTGCAACTTCACTGGCTTCGGACGCACCTCCTCAAATCATGTCCAAAAGAGGGGCAAGTTTTCCATTCTCCGCCCCAATGCCCCAACCTTCATGTTAATTGGCTGTGCTTAGGATGGGCTGGGCCCGATGTTACCCAGTGATTGGTTACATGGGTAATCTATCACGGGAGGACGCGGACAAGGGTGGCCATTTAGGAGGAAGTGTAGAGTATTGTGAAGATTATTTTGGTACCTCCTACTCCAGCTGATGATTGGCTGAGGTTGGCAGTGACGTAAAACCGGACCGAAAGATGGCCACCAAAGGGAAAAGCCTATTGGCCAAACTCATGGATGACGTCTAGGGTGGGACGGGGATAGCCAGCCAGGCGGTGTTACTGTCAGGGAGGACTGCGTTGATTGAAACCCGGAAATGAGTGTAGAAGGAACTGCGGGAAAACAAGGGAAATCCGCGGCTCCTTTGTAGCCCGCGCACCAGGTCATTTCCTGCGAGAGATCGATGGTTTCCTGTTTGCTCCGCCCAGGGCGCGCTCTGTCCCTGCGGAGCCGACTCTCATGGACTCTCAGGAGCCTTTAGCCCCAGACTTCCCGCTTCCAATGCCAGCTAAGGTATTAAGTGAGACGGAGGAAAGGAAAGACAGGGATTTATCCCTCTCTATAGAGGATGGAAAGCCGAGGCTGTAATATGAAAGGGCTAAATTGACAGCGGGTCGTAGTCTTCAAGCAGGTAGCTCGTCATAGAAACCATACGCATAATTGGAGACTGGATGGAGGCCAAGAGAACTGCAGAATTATGTGATGGAAGAGCGCTATTCATGGGCTTTCCTGGGTAAGAACTGAGTTTTACTGCGGTATGTACAATGCCACGCAGTGTGGGATACGTTGTAGGTGGTCAGCTGCTGAGCTGAACCAAACCAAACCTTTTATAAAGTATGCCCAACATCCACGGAGGACAATTTAAGGCGATCTGCCTCGAAGAAGGTGGGTTTAGTCCTCAGTGCAGAGGTGGGAGTTAGCTGTGGACATTCTAAAAATACCAGATTAGCCGGGCGTGGTGGTGCACAACTGTAATCCCAGCACTCGGGAGGCTGAGGCAGGAGGATCACAGTGAGTTCCAAGACCAGTCTGGGCTACATAGTGAGTTCCAGGTCAGTCTCAACTACATAGTGAGACCCTGTCTTTAAAAAAAAAACTGAAGATACCACATTTAGAATATGTTTTAGGATATGTTTTGTGACTCTAGGTTTGAGGTCCACACCTGTAATCCCTGGAGTGTGGGAGGCTAAGATGGACCCCGAGTTTGAGCCTAAACAGTGATTTAGTGAGACTATCGCAAGAAACAAAAAAACAAAAATGGGCTAGGAAGTTCATTGCAAAGGGCCTGGGTTCAACCCAAGTGCACACCTACCCCCATAGCTGTGCTAAATTTAGGACCCTGAAAAATGTTTCACACTTACTGCAGGGTTGATTCAGCTGTAAATTCCAAAGTGGACCTGTTTCCCAGACCAGCTACCCTACTACGAACCTGAGAAAATGCTGTCATGGTCTCTTTTTGCTTTATTTTTGTTCTTTGAGATAGGGTCTTGCCTTGTGGTCCAGGCTGGCTTCAAACTCACAACCATCCTCCTGCCTCAGCCTCCCCAGTGCTGAGATTACAGATGTGTGTCACCACACCTGGCCTGTCTCTTTTAGCACCCAGAGGCCTTTAAAATTTGAAAGCAGTTTGCCCCTCTGCCTACCTTTAGAAAGGTAGAGAAAAGATAGGTAAAGCAGAAGGAAAAAGA